AACCCACCTCAATGACACCAATCTGAAAGACATTTCTTGGTTCACACAACACATGATTCTAGCAATATCGAATACATGATCTGTCTTATATTTAACATAATTGTCTCATCTATTTATCAACTGAATTATACATTAAAGATATATATATATATATATATATATATAAAATTTAATAAATATTATTGGGGTCAGAAATGGACATGTAGTCTTTGTTTTGGAGGTTAAAGACAAAGGCTTGTTCTCATCATTTGAGCCATGAAAAGAATGGGATGGGAAATACGTGGAGTCCACAAGGCACACCGTCATTTTTTTCCTTTTCTTAATTAAAATATGTATTATTGTATACCTTAAACACGTTTCATATTCATCTGTAATTCGGAATTTTTTTAATGGCAGATCTAAAAATTCAAGAAATCAGTGGACATTTAAAGATACTAAAAGGATACTCGTGCAATATAGTGAGATACATCGAGATAATGTTTCGTTTTATTTTTTATCTCTGTCGATATAATACGGTTTTATATGACTTTGAAAAAACGATAACGTTTTTAATCATAAAAATTTGAAAAAAATATATCGTAATTAAATCAAATTAACTATATAAAAATTCTCCATTTTTATATAATTTCTTTAATTCAAATTTTTTATTATATAATTTAATTTAGATTTAATAACAAAGTAGTTTGTTTTTGGTTTATTAATACAATTTTTATAAGGATAATAATTAAACATTCTGTTATAAGTGTAACTCAATAATTATCCTAATTATATTTTAGATTTTTTATATTTAAAATGAGATGTTTTATCACGTAGGTGATAATGTTTATCTACAGTTAGTTACATGAATTCAAATATGAAGCTTTAATAAGTTGTACTTATGCACAATTTACTTGTAACCTCGAATTTTAAGTAATATACATCAATAAACAGTTTTTCATGAAAAAAATGGTTTTAAGGGTATTTGTCAAATGTTTATAATATAGTATGGATAAAAAAAAAACTTAAACTAAATAAGTCATCAAAATCGAATGAAGTTCAGGTTAAATTGTTTCAAATTATTCGCTTTCTGCGTTAAACTGTTCATTTGGTTGAATGAATATATCTTATTGGTTCAGTTATTCTTTTAACTACTTTCATTAAACTTATTAAATCGTAATAGCAAATTAATGACATACATTGAGTGGTACAATTTAAAACTTAGAAAAAAAAACCAGTAAATCACAATTCGTATTACAGAAGACATCCATAACACACTGTAATTTCCAACAATTTAGGACAAAAGAAAAACAGTAACGAGAATTAAAAGCAATAACTAAAGACGGGAATTACAGAAAATGAAACTAAGAATTAAGCAACAGCAACAAGAAGAAATCAACAAGCATAAACATGCTCTATTTGCAACTAAGTGAACTAACAGATAAATCGTAACAAATTAGAAGATGAAATCAAATGGGAACCCACAAACCCTAACCCCATCACGTAACAGATTGATAAGCAAATCGTATCAAATTGAAATTTAGAAAGAAAACAAAGGAATGACTTAAATCATAAAAGCAATCACAAGTAAAGATGTCGACACAAACGCTCCTATTCTGTAATTTTTGTTCACGCAATCACACACAGGGATTCGAGACTTTTGGATTTCGATCTCATATAACTGCAGCGAACTAGAAAGACATGTAAATAGTAAAGAAACCGGCCAAATAAAGTTAGGGATTACAGATTGTTACATAGCAAAGTCAATGGTAAAATTTAGTGATTAGAGTAATAGTTGTGGTATGCGAAGGAGGCCATCGTCCGTTGTCGTGTGGTGTGCACAACTTCTTTGAGTAGCGAGTACAAACTAACGTTTCGGGATTGCTGACGTGAGGCGAAAAGCAGAGAAGGAGGGCACGAAACCCAACTAAGGAATTCTTCGTCACTTATCACTCGTCAAAGATGGCGACAATCGCAGGGCATGTCAAATCAAAACAGGGGGCACCAGATCAAATAGAGGAAGTTTAAGGCACTATTTTTATTCGAAATTTAATTTCATCAGGGTATCCGACATTAACTGGACATGTTCTTGTTCTCGCTTATATAAACTTCTATTTGTGCATTAATTTAGAGTAAAGGGTCCCATAATGAAATAATTCCTACCCAATAATGAAATGAATATTTATATAATACCAAAATATTTTATAATACACCACTTAATAATGTCAATATTTGTAATAATAATTTCCCACTTAATAATGTCAATAGTTTAGAAGAAAAATCCAATTTCATGTAGATCAAATTATTTGTATAAGTGAATAATTAAATACTTTTGTGGATTAATTTAAATAAAATTAATTTATAATATGAAAATTTTCAAGACATGATATATTTCGGCTTTGTTTGACATATTAACTATTAGCTGATAAGTTAACTGGTAGTCGATTAACTAATTATGTTTGTAAAAAACTAGCTGATTAGCTAGTTGAAAAATGCAAAATTATCATAATAGGATATGTTAGAAAATTAGTCAATTTTAGCATCTCATAATATCTATATTGTATCATAAATCATTTGATAAAAACTTTTAAAAATCATTTTTATGCATGAAGTACTGTTTATTGATGCATATTACTTAAAATTCAAGATTACAAGTAAGTGTGCGTAAGTACAACTTATTAATGCTCCATATTTGAATTCATGTGACTAACTATTAATAAACATAATCAAGTATGAGATAAATATCTCAATTTAAATATATAAAATATAATTAATATAATCATTGAGTTTTAATAGAATATTTAATTATTATCTTTATAAAAAATTATATTATTAAACTTACATTAAATTACTTCGTTACTAAATCTAAATTAAATTATAACAAAAAATTTGAATTAAATAAATTACACAAAAAACAATAACTATTAAATTACTCGATGGATTGCATGAGTAGCCTTCTAGTATCTAAAAATAAATCATTAATAATATAATATGTTAATTAATACAAATTAGACGTAATTTTTTTTTAAATAATATAATATATTAATTAATATAGTTTCAATTTAATATAATTATATATAAACATCATAAACTTGGGATTGTATAACCAAATGACAGTATTTATAATAAATTTATTAAAAAATATTAAATTAGCAATATCAAAATTTATTATTTATGAAATAAACGGAATAGTTTTAATTTTTATGTAATTATAAAAATGATTTCAAAATTATTATATTTGCTTTTTGACGGCTAAATATATTAAACAATAATTAAAGTAATAATAGCAATATAAGAATTTGGTAAATATTTCAATAAATAATATTAATGAATAATTTACGATTGAAATTAGTGTTAATTAATCACAAGTTCTAAGTGAAGAGATTACTAAGTCCTTTTAATTAAAATTAACCAATAATTAATATCTATTAATAATAGCTAAATAAAATATAATTTTGTAATATTACTCAACGGTATGATTAAAATAAAGTGGCAAAAAACTCATGAAACTTATTGAAACTCTAAGGGGCCTTTTATTAAACACTTACCCGATAAGTGTTTATCGAGTAATTTTTCTCATCGAATGAACATGGCAAGGGCCGGAAATCTTACCCGGTAAGATTAATGATAATGATAGAGAGTCTTATCCGATAAGTGATGGTGATGACTCTTACCCGGGTAAACGTTTACCGGATAAATTGTTACATACGATACTGTTTTAATATACTACAATCTTACCTGGTAAAATAGATTATAGTGTTGACTCCTAGCGGTAAACGCTTACCGAGTAAGCATTTGGATAAACGACTCCTAAGTATTTCAATAAACTAGTTTATAAGCTACAATGGAAATATATTAAAAGGTATTTTCCCCACATGGTAATTACTTTTTTGACGGAAAAACATGTTTTCATACTTTTTCCATTTTATAGATAGTTTATGGAATCTTTTGAAATATAAAATTGATTCAAAATCTCCATTTTCTCTATTTTAAATATATATATATATATATATATATATTAAAAATAATGTAAGTATAATTTTGACATCACTTCTTTGTAAAACACAAATCAATGTAGAAATTAAAAGTGTACATAATCACAAATTTAGGTACCGTTTATCAAATGCTTACCCGGATAAGCGCTTACCAAGTCACTTTACTTATCCGGATGAATATGGCAATGACTAAAAATCTTACCCAGTAAGAGTGAAGGCAAAAATCTCGAGTCTTACCCTGTAAGTGAAGATGATGACTCTTATCATAGTTAACGGTTACGGGGATAAATTGTTGCATACGATGCGTTTTAGTGAATAAAATATACTCGGTAAGTAAATGATAGTGTTGAATTTTGCCGATAAATGCTTATGGGGTAAGTGTTTAGGTATACGACCCCTAACCTTTATATGAACATTAACCGTTTTCTAATCATTTTAGATAATAAATAATCAAATTTGCTCATTATTGGGTTTTTATTGTTTGTAATTAAATTTTTAAAAAAATATAGAAATTAAATATATCGTAGTGAATTTTAAAAACACATAATATAAAATTTAGTTAACATATAATATCTTAAATTGTTTTCAGAAAAATAAAATAAAATGGAGTATAAATACAAACCGTTATTATTATAAACGATAAAAATCAATTTTAAATATATGTACAGATGATGAATTAGCTTCTAAATTCATTCTCAATTTATTTATAATTCATTTATAAACCTCCATTATATTTCATAATCAATAGTCCAAATTCGATTTGCAACGGTTACAAATTTATATCCGAAACCCCCGTGAGATAATAATAATAATAATAATAATAATAATAATAATAATACCATAAATAATTGTATATTTCAACGTAACATATACACTTTGAGAAGACAAAAAAACCAGAAATACCGAAAAAATAAAATTAATAATTAGACACGCACGAATTAAACGCGAAAAGCAATCAAAAATACCGAAACTACCCCCAACATCCTTCTCCTATAAAAGCCTCGTTCTATCGCCATTTCCAATATCCCCAACACCTTGGATCTCATTAGTCATCTCTGTGTCTCTCTCTCTTTCTAAATTCCAAGTCGTCATTCTCTGACCGAACTGGCTAACCCTCAAGAAGCTCTGGAGGATTCCAGCAATAAGAGCGTGGTGCTCCAGCTCTACCATGCCCTAAGCTCTCGCGACGTTCAAACCGTCCACAAACTCTTAGCCCCTGACCTCGAGTGGTGGTTCCATGGCCCTCCGTCTCATCAGTATATGATGCGATTGCTCACCGGAACTGACAACGACGATTCATACTCCTTCAATTTCGTACCTCATTCCGTTGACGCTTTCGGATCTACGGTCCTCGTTGAAGGCTGCGATCAGGATCGCGAAATCTTCTGGATCCACGCTTGGACTGTTAATTCACAGGGTATAATCACTCAGGTGCGTGAGTATTTCAATACCTCCCTCACCGTTACTCGATTCGGTGTTAACTCTTCCAAATCCGTCTCCATTACTTCGCTTCATTGCCCTTCTCTTTGGGAGAGCACTCTCTCTAATAGGGTCGGAAAATCTGTTCCGGGTTTGGTACTGGCTATATAGTCAAGGGGCCGGATCCCCTGTGCTCGCTACTTCATATAGCTTATCGTGTGCGTGAATAAAAGAACAAGTCAAAGTCAAAGTTGGAGCGTGATTACCTATGGGTTGAAGTAACGTGCTATCCTGCGTCTGCGAGGATGTAAATCGTACGGCGGAGATTCGTGGGTACTGTTTGGCTACTACTTTCCGTTTTTGTGTGGTTTGTGTTTGCGTTTTATTGTAATCCTAATCCAGGATGGGGATGTCCTCCTATTCTTGGTTATTTTCTACTGTTTTTATAAAAATGCTATATATTGATTTTCTAATAATTTCTAAACTCTAACATCGAAATAAGTGGTCGAGATTGTTTACCAAAAGTTTACTGTACTGGTGTCAATTACCTTACTAAAAGAGCATGGTAAGGATCAAAATCTTATCTGGTAAGAGGCATAGTAAGGACCAAAAATCTTATTTTATAGACGGTCAGCGGAGGAGAATGCTCTTACCCGATAAATATGTTAAGCAACGATCTATTTTAGGAATACTATTTTCATGGTCGATAATGTTACCCTATAAATTAATTCAAATGACGACAATAAAATTAAAGTAGTCATATCATAGTCTTAAGCTAATATGATGGAAATATTTGGATAATAATAATTAAATTGGATTGTGGAGCACTGGTTAAATTTAGGGGTGCTCAAAATACCGATCAATCCGACCAAACCCGGTTGATCCAACCCGAAGAAATCCAAAAAAACTCCACCAAAGTAACCCCGACACATAGTTGATGCAAAATTTAGTCAACCCTTATATATTGGGTTGGAATTGGGTTAGGGTCATTTGAACTCAACCCAACCTGATGAACCCAATGCTCTTTTATACTATGGATTTAATTTCATTCTTAAGTTTTTTGATTAACATATGTATATTAGACATTAGACTAATCCATAATTAATTATATTTAAAATTATATTCCAATTTGAACCGTAATTTTACTTTCTTATTTGCATAGACCTTCAATTTTTTTTTTTAGTTTGTTAGTCATTTTTGTATGTTATCATTTTGATTTTGCTTCGTTTAAACATAAACACTTAGCTAGCTTATAAAATGATTTACCAAAATTTTCAACTCGACCAACTCAACCCGCATGGTTTGGGTTGTAGTTTTGCTTGGTTGAGTTAATATTTTTCAAACAGTAAACATTGTGTTGGGTTGTACAAATATCATAAACCCGACCAATACAACTCATGTGCAACCCTAGTTAAACCCTCAGAGAATGTATTAGAAAATATTATGTACCTCGGGTTAAATTCTAGGCGCTACAAAGCCTTTATGACCATGGAGGTTCGCCTGAAAGATTAGTCGGTGCGTATAAGTTAACCCGAAAATCTATAGTTATTCAAAAATAAATATCGACAACAATTATCCAAAACATATTATATATATATATATATATATATATATATATATATATTCCGATTCTAATAAAATCAAATATGGGAATGTAAGGGATTGATAAGCTTACATTTATAACTCGACAGAAAGTTCCTCACCTAAAACAGTAATACTTTTATTTTTCTGGATAGAATATGTTGACTTTGGGTTTTTATTACAGTTTAAATTATTTATTTGTTTATTAAATACATGTATTTTTAAAAAAGTTATTAATCATTTATTTATGTAGTATTCATGATTAACAATATATATATAGGGAAGGGTTCAAACGAGAACCCCTGTGATTTACGAGAACGCAAGAACAACTCAATAACCTCATATTGTGATAAAAAATAAAATTAAAAGATTTTTAAAATTTAAATTTAAATTTAAAAAGATTCAAAAAAATTTAAAATTAAAAGGGTAATAATGGAAATGATAT